AACACAAACTATTTATTTTAATTTGTTCTTGATCCAAATGACCTGGGTAAAGTATGACCTTCAAAACAAGAGCATTGAATCCCCTTTTATTCCCCCCGCAGTTACACTCAAGTGGTTCCGGCGCCGGGTCAGGACTTTTATTGTGACAGTCATCACAGGAAGTCACGTGTGTCGCCCTCACCGTCAGCTCGACAGTGTGTGTGTGTGTGTGTGTGTGTGTGCGTGAACGTGAATCCATGTACGAGTGTGCGCTGCTCGGGCTGGATGTCGGACTGTTCCCCGGTGAAAAAGCACCGAACCCCGGTCGTGTGAGCATGCCTCAGCTCGGCGTGTGATCGGCTGGAAGTCGCGGAGCGGCCGCAGGGAGCCAGTCTCGTCTCCGGGCAGCTTTGCAGCCAGAGCACCGGCAGGATGTTGCAAGTTTTAGCTTGTGGCGCCGTAGTTTTCCCCGGGCTGTTCTTCGCCTTCAGGAGGCTCCTGCCCTGCGTGTTCAGACACTGGAGCGATGCCGACGTGGTGCTGGTCAGCGAGAGGTAAAGCTGCGTTCGTCCAACACTTTTATTCATCGGTAACTCGTCTCTGAAAGCCCCTCCGCCATAGCTGAGCTCCGTTATAGCATCTGAGCTTTAAGCTAGTAACGGTGCCGCTCGTTCGGTTAGCTTGTTCGTGTGCCGTGTTTTTCTGGTTTTTAAACGCACCTCGCCGGCTCTGGTTCACATTTAGCCGCAGTGCCGGTGTTCTTTATTTAACCTCTTTGGCATTTTGTCACTTTGGATTGAGGATTTATTCCCGTGATGTGGATTTATCCGCGTTGTTTCCCTTCACAAGGATGATTTGCAGATATGTGTCCCTGTGATACTGTAGGGATACACTCGTGATAACAGGGACTGGGAAAATACTAACGCGAGTACAGTTATATTCGTGTGCACGTGAGTAAAATGTATTTAGTACTTGCATGGTACATTGCAAATACTGCAATTACAACCTTGCATGTAATTGAGAAACTACAACCTTGCATCCAGCAGAGTACTCGTCACTGCCCCACAGAGATGGAGATATTTTAGTTGGAGGTGAACAAACTTTGGGTTCATTATCAGTGAACAAACACAGTGTAAATAAATCCGTATATATTTCACCCACATGATATTTGATCACTTTAAATGTGGGATGATTGATCAGTGTTGTTTGTCCCTTTACAAGGATGATTGGCAGACATGTGTCCCTGTGATACTGTGGGAATGCAGTCATGATAACAGGGATTGAACAATACTAAAGCAAGTACAGTTGTATCAGTGGTCATGTGAGTGAAATTGATTTGGTACTTGCTTGGTACGTTGGAAAATACTGCAATCACAACCTTACTGAAAAACTACCACTATCCACCAGAGTACTCTTCACTGCTCCACACACATAGAGACATTTTAGTTAGAGGTGAACTAACTCTGGGTTAAATATCAGTGAATGTATACATACAAATAAAACAATGCCAGTCTTTTTATTTCAACTACTTAATATTTTATTACTTGAAATGCATGAAATATTTATGTGCTTTTGATTTATCGGTGTTGTTTATCCCTTTATAAGCATGACTTGCAAATATCCCTGTGTTAATATAAGAATGCGTTCTTAATAACGTTAACTGAAAAACACCAAAGCGTGAATGCACAGTGAGCGTTTTCTTAATGTCCTTGTGAGTGAAATTCTTTTGGTCTTTGCACAGAACAATGTGTGCATGTTTTTCATGGTTCATGGTTCACATCCTCCTCAGACAAAATATGACACCATTATAACCTTGCATCCACCAGGAGACCCTTCACTGCTCCACATAGGAAGTGACATTTTAGTTAGAGATGAACAAACTTTGGATTTGAGTCCAACGAACACTGTTAATCTATGTAAGTAAAAGCAAACAAACACTCAATTCAGATGCATCTCCTCTTTGTTACTGTAAATCCCAAGTGTATTGGGCTACAAACTAGTAATAATTAATATAATGTGTCTGTGTGTGTCAGTGTGACTTGCTCACATGTGCACAGCTCAGTTCAATGCTCATTTGTACGCTGTCGCTCTTGCTAATCCTCCTCTGAGCCCTGGTCAGAGCCGACTGCTGAGTTAGCTATGCACTGGAAAACACAGAGCCCAACGCCTGAATAACGCTTCTACTCATTTACGAATGCTCATCAAATGGAAAATGTTGTTCTTACAAGCGTCTCTGCCTCAGGGGATGTAACGCTGCTTGTTCCCCACCACTAAACCAGCCTCGGATATCTACCGTGGTCCACAGATCCCAAAGCTTGCATCATGATAGTGTCTGAATTTTGTGGAGCATTTTCAGTAGGTTCGTGTTCTGACCATTTTCTTAATTTCCAGGGTATAACAATTAACACAAAGGAGCTTCACCAATCGTGAACCAGGCTTAGCTGCCAATCATGACATCTCAGCCCATTTTTATAGCATCAAATAGCAGATTAAAACCAACATTAAGTGAATTATGTCCACTTAAACAAACATTAGTGTGAGAAGAACTACCTAAAATGACAGAATTACCTTTTCATTTTCAGTCCATGTCTCATCTGAGGAAATTAAGATGCTTTGGCCTCACTTCTGGAAAGCTGTCCATCTTTACATACAGTCAGTGGTGATGACGTTTTGGCGTAAGGCTGCGACTGAACGTAAAACTGTCCAAAACATGAAGATATTCATGTTTTTATCAAATAACATGATCGATGCAATATAAGCACATTCCCTAAATTAAGGGTTGCACAGTTCAATTGGCATTTGTCTTTTAATAATTACTTTAAAAATCGTTTCAGTGTACATAAAACAATTGTGGATTATTGCCCTAATTGTTTCAGCATTATAGGACATCAAATACCTTTTACTTTCTCAGCCCCAAGTTCACTGTGCTGTTAATACACGCTTGAGAATCATTCACTGGAGATTTGTTATACCACATTACAATTTTACTAACTAATAATGTCAAGGGCTGGTCACATTACTCCATTAACATGTGATGTTTAGCACATGCTGAAAGATGCATGTTTTAAAATGGACTTTGCCAGTTCAACAACAATTTATCAGATAGTGTCAGATGTACCCTTGACCTACTTAAAAGAACACTTGACTGGAGAACGGATTGTAATGCTCAACATCACCAGCTTCAGAGGCTCAAAGCCACAGTTACTGTTTGCCTTTTTTTCATACAGCAGTGGTGCTCAAAACGCATTATCTGATTGTGCAGCCTCTAATATACAGTGTACTTATTCAATTAGCCTTTAACCTACCTGCCAAATACATGATATAATCTATTTTACTTCAAGAACACAGTAAAAAACTTGAACATGAAAGATATAATTGATAATATGGTGCAGTCTAATACAAGAGTGCTAACATTACAGCCTTAAAAATAACCAGAGTTCAATCCACATGGCTCATCTTTCATAAAGGTACTATTATCCTTTAGAAATCAAGTAACATGATGCTGTATTGTTGTACTGTCAGTTATACGAGAACCTTGTACAGGACAGATGTTTTAATAGATATGACAGCATAGCCTATAGTTTCCCCACCTTCAGTGCTAAAATATTAATAAAAAGCAGCTCACAGTGTACCAAAGTCCAAAGTATTTGTGTTATTAGATATAATTATGAAGATATTACACAAATTTTGTCAGTTGCGATTTTCACACGAATTGATAAACGGACGTAGATGATCTTTTATTGATAGTCTAATTGGTAAACTGTTTATTTATATTCAAACTGGTTAAGGAACAGTGCATACGTTTGAAGGGTTATGACAGTGTGACAGTTTCATCTTGCCATTAAATGCACTTTACCCTGTTTGCCTTTTTTTTTGCCTCCGCTGTCACTTTTCTTTTTTTTTCGCTCTGCTGCAGCGCCAGTGGAACTACAGATTACGTAGCCCATTTACTGAAGGAGTAGGGAAAAAAGCACAACTCCTGACTGTCAGACACTGTGTGACAGAGCAAGCAGTCCGTGTTTAACGTAACAGTCCGTTCGGAAACCGAGGTCGTTCACTGGCCTGACACAGCAGGAAAGAAAAGACAACATTGCCGAACAAGGCTGCAAAGCATTCTTCCTTTTTTCTCCTCTGCACGCTCCTCACCCCGTCAACCTGAACCTTTCATCAGCAGAGGGGGGGGGGGTTACTAACGGACACACAATGAATGGGCTGTGTAAAATCTGGGTCTTGTGACAGAGTATGCGACCATACAGCTCTAGCACACAGCGAGCTGTGGGGGTAAAATGTGTGTGTGGGGCACAGGGAAGGAGTTTTTAGGGGAAGGACTGAGCCAGTTAGCATTTTCCGGCTCAGTTGCTAGTTGCTGGTCATGCGGCCTTCTTTGCCTTGCCAATGTTGGTGTCATGGCCACATTCCTATTGGATAGTGGTGTGAGGTGACAGCAGGTTCAACCCTGCTAATACACTCTTTGGGCCCAATTAAATTCTGGATATAGTTTAATTAGAGCTCAGTAGCAGCATTGGCTCGGATCTTTTAAGAAATCATATGATGCTTCATCGTCTCACATGGAAAATTTAATATTTTGAGGCAGATACAGATTGTTCTGGTAATTGCTGGAAACATGCTGCCCCTTTTGGATTAAGCTGCCTGTTAATTGATGAAATATCCTGCTGCGGCTGCCAGTTCCGGTCCTCTCCTGCTTTATGGTTTGACTGCATTTTAGATCTGGTCTAATTACCCGGAAGTAGATCGAGAAATTGTGAATCTGTCATGACCTCTAGCTTGCACTGCAACCCCACTGTGAAAAATATTGGACTGACATAGCTGCCGTTTTCAGATCTGTATAGTAATAGAGCAAGAAATATAAAACTTGTTCTCATTGCAGTTGCTAAAAAAACGATACGTTAAATCTTTTTGTTTTCATGCCTTTTGATGGATGAATGGGCTGAGTGAATGTACTTTAAATCTGCTGCATTACAAGATATCACGTTTGGACGTTGTGCAACTAAAGGATAGTTTGCTGAGTGCCAAATATAACAAGGATTAATCCGCTCGTGAGCATAAAGCACCATTTAAGATTTGCCAATCTGACCATTGTTTTTGGTTTGACTCTGGTGGCCTTGGAGGAAAGGCATCACAGAAAACATCAGGTTTGAATCTCTGGGGACAGTTCACATAGATTCAGTCAATTCTTGAGATTGTGTTGGTCAGGGTATAGCCTTACCTAAGGGAGGAGTCATTGGACCCATGACTCCATCCATATCCTTTATCCTTTGGGGGTTGTGGAGGAGCTGGAGCATGACCCCGTTGACAGTGGGCGAGAGACGGGTTACATCGTAAACATATAGATACAACCATCCAGGCTCATTCCCACCTAAGGTGGAGAGGCATGAGTACCCAGAGAAAACCCACACAAACCTAAAGACAGAAACAACCATGTTGCTTAGGACCATGAATGTCTTACCCAAACTTCATTGTGTCCAATATCACAAAGCCCGATTTCTGACTTGACCGATTAAGCTTACTTATCCCAAATGTGTGCAATACTGTCCTAGTACAGTCCTATACTATAAAAGACCTGTTTACATAACAAAATGTGGAAATTGGAAGTTAGTCTTCTTTCTAGAACACATAAAAGACTGAGTAACTGTCCCAGCAGATACAGTCTAAAGAGATAAACTGTGTCTCCCTCCACTCATTTTTGTGGGTGGTGATGTAATTCCAAAAAGCTGAAACATTTAGTCATAAATCGTACCAAAACACTGTGGTGTGTTAAAGGGGCGACTGTCTATTATGGCTGCAGCAAGTGCTGGGGGAATAAATTACATGTTTTCTGATTTCAAAGCAGCTTACTGTCAGTACTGCCAAACTGGAGAACAGCCCGAGAGAGAGCTTGTCTGTGCAAAACCAGCCATTCATAGTTTGAACAAATTGGTAACATAATTCAATGTCTCGTCTATAATGGACAAAAAAGCCTCTGTTGCACCGTTAGGGAAAAATCAGCAACCCTCTGACGACACAGTGAACATAAATCAAGTTTTACTATGGTCACTGAACATAACATCCGGTTTTCTCCAGCATTTCAATTTTTATCACTTGATGTAAAGTTACAATCAACCAGATGTCAGATCAGAAGTTCATATCTTGTGAGTATAGTCTTAAGATAGAAGTGAATGTTACGTATGCAATGCCTTACGCCACCTCACACAGTGGCATTTCAAAAAGAGATGTACCAAGCTCTCCTATGTCACAGGTCTGTTTATAGACGAGGCAGTTCGAGGCTGAGCACTGCTAATCTCAATGACTGATAGCTGAAGTTGTAGTTCCCCCGAGGGGACACCTTTCAAAAAATGATCTGGATTGGGCAGCTAGTCAACATGCATACAAATCAAATATCACTTCTTGGGTTAGCCCAGTGAGACAGCTTAACCTTTCAATTACTTTCCGATATTTGTTAGTGAGTAGGTTAAATTCTTGTTTCCCATAGCTAAGATACCACCCACCAAATATCACCCAGTATTAAAATGTTGAAAGGCTAGATCTGGAATTGATTGGGGTGTATCATCAAAGAGTCATAATCATACTTAATAAATAACAGCATTATCAATGCTCGATTACATGCGTATATGTTGCTTGAAGGCTTAATGGTGGGCGGGCCTGGTGCTCAACCAACTGCAATTTCCCGCTCAGGACACACAAATGCCAACGAGCCTTCATCTTAATGTTTCATGAAAGCAGTCAATGCAATGCTAAAGGAAAGTACTCGCAAAATAACTTGTTTCTTTATTCTGTGTCATAACGTAGCCATCCACAATGTGATTAACGAATGTTCTTTATCTCTGTCTTTTTATGTCTGTCTCTTTCTCAGAGTGGTGTCCTCCATCCATGCCATCATGGCAACAACAGCAGGAGTCATCATTGTGACATCATGCAGGGACAACGTCATTAACGACAGGTTAGACTCCATGTCATCTGTTCCCTTCATGAAACTTTCCACTAGTGCTTTTAACCTTTACACCTCTGAATCCCCTGTTTTCCTGACACGGTTGTTGTTTTGATTGTTTCCTATTCCCCGCACTACATTTAAACACTAAAGAAAAACGTATTCTTGAGGGAATTTGGGAAAAAGTAATACATGTAAGAACATCACCCTGAAAATGAGCTACTTTCTTATCCACAGGAATGGTGAGAAAACTAGGTCTAAGCGTGATAATCCTCAGCTGTAAGTGTGTGAATGCACTGTTAGCATTGTTCAGCATGTTCTCACATGTTAAGCAAGTGATTGGTGCTTTGTCCTCTTAGATAAGCACTTAGAGATGATTAGAGTCACATGTTTCCTCCTCCGCACACTACATAAATGTATTACTGTATGTGCTGAGTACTGCACTTACTTGTGTGAACTGGAAAAAAACAGATCTTAAGACATCCACCAATTCGCTTGAGTAATTGCGGCAGGATTTCTAGACATTATGTCTCTAGATATAGAATGGCCGCTTAAGGGAGGAAACAAGGGTTATTTGTTTGTCTATAAGATGATGACTGCCTTAAATATCCTAGAAGAATAAACACTTTTGGTGCCCTACTGCAGTATTTTCACCCAAACAAGCGACTGAATTCAATGCCATTGAAATGGCCAGTTTGACAATATGAATATACTGCTTTACATCAAAGATGTCTCCTTTTTTACTCCATATAGCTGCAGTGATGTCTATTTAGAAAGTGCTGCACAGTAGTTCCTGTTGTGTCATGTGTCATACTTCATAGTCTGGTTTAAAAAATATATATATTTCCACAAAGTATTTTTTCCCTCCATATCTTTTCAAGGACTGTCTGCCCACTTTCCGTATTCAGCTGCCTGAGCCCAAGCCCTGCCTGCCGCAGTATCAGCCACCTGGCAGCATGATAGTGTTAGCATAGCATTAGCCTCCCTGTGCAGAAAGTGTATGACGCTAAGCTAATGCTAGCCTATTAATCCCACCGAGTCAGCAGCCAGACCTGGGCAGGCCCAGTTTCAGGCTGTTAATCTCCACCACGGCTCCCCTTCACCCACACGACTTAAATCCTCCACAATGCTGCTCAGTTCTGCTGTCCTATGACGTGCAAACGGCATGGAGCTTATCAGACACATGCTCCGGAGTCAGACCATGAATACTCTAATACACCACAGGCTGTCAATTCATTTAGCTGAGGTTCAGCTGCAGCAACTTTTCAAAGGTGTTGCAGTGGAAAAACCTCAAATCCACAGAAAACAATGGTGGGGTTTTATACAGCTGAGAGAGAAGGATCTTTCCCAATGGTATAACCCTTTAAACAAACATTTGGGTTCAATACCAAGGTAACTATTGACTCAGATGGGCCAGAAATATTTTGAACAACGACTTCATTTATGGACTCACACTGTGCTCCTCTAAATATGGTCACTTCTGGTTACAAAAGATAACAGGATGGTGCTAAAGCCAAACTTGAGGAAGTTTACAAACCAATGGGAGACGTTGTGGTAGGTTGCCACATGCTCCTATGCCACAAAGACAAAGCTAAAGTAATAAACTGGAGGTATTCCTAAAAAAAACCGTGGAACAGTATATTCACTACAACATTGAGTCATGTTGCCCTCATTGCTCCCCGGGCTGTTTGTTGTGCCTTACTGCTCTTAATCTCCATCCGCTGACCTTAAGATGCCAGTGAGAGGTCGGGGGTCAGTAGCTCAGCTCTGCCCTGCAGCTTTACTCCGTTCTGTCCACATAATTAACCATCACCATAATCGGTGCTCATTAGTGAGCTGCAGCCATCCAAGCTGTTTATTATACTGTACGTTCATAAGCCTGCCTTTTGCGTGCAGGCTTGTGAGAGAGTGGGAAGGCGAAGGCATAAGTTAAATTAGGGTTTGTGCTTGGAGGGATTAAAGTTCTCTTGTCGCAATGGCCAGTCTCCGTCAATTGGATTCCAGTGAGGCCATGAGATTAGTGTGAAGGCAGAAAACGGTAAAGTCATGGCATTGTGACAGCACGTATGCGACCATTACATTGAGAGCAAAGGCTATTTGAAAGATGAACCGACAGTTCATGACCCAAATGCAAATATTAAATCAGGGTTAACTCAACGGCCTCTACCTTTTTTATTTTTGCTTGAAAACCAATAGTGACCATAGCGCATTCCATCAGTACCAGTTGTCAGTCAAACAACAGTGTCAGCTACTTTTTTAGATTACTCTTTGATTGTAATAAAATTGTACATTACCCACCTATCTTGTTTAAAACCCCTAAATGTGCAGATGTTGAATATTTTCATGTGTTTGTTTTTTCTACTTCAGGCACTGGCTGGCCACATACTTTGTCATCTGGTACGGTGTGCCCTACATGACATATGACATCTTCGCCATGTACCTCAGTCACTACCACCGTTTCCGTGTCAAAGGTCACGAGGACTACAAGCAGCACTCGCTGAAGACAGTGAACTCCTTCGTCCGCAGAGAGTTCCTGCTGGTGCTGCATCACATTGCGCTGCTCACCATCCTGCTGCCGGTCACACTGGTGAGTGACATGAAAACTGAATGAATGCAGGAAGTTCTGGTGGTGATGGATCTCTAGCTTGCTGAATTAGCTGCTGGCAGGAGTCACACTCATGCAGCACTGGAGCTAAAATCATTAGCGTCAGAGATCACAATCTTCACTGGGGCAGTACTACAACTGTCATGGTGTTGATCAGTGTGTGAGTCCAATTCTTTATTTTGTGAATAGGAGTCATTTAGATGGTTATATTAACCGACCTGTTTTGCCAATTTTTAGAATTTTAGAGCTGAATTAAAAGAATAATCAGTCTCCCGACCAATGAAAACTAAACTGATAATCAATTCATTGTATTTTCTTTCTCATGATAATAAACTGAACATTTTGAGTAATTTTTAACATGTTAGCTTGTGGTTTGGCAAGTGGCCATTATTCTCTATTTTCTGATATTGTATAGGCCAAAGTAACAATTAATCAATTGATTATATCAGCCCTGTTGTATTTAGGATCATACAGGATCCATTCCCACACACACACACAAACACATATATTTTTTTTTCTTATATTCCAAGCAGCAGCCATTTGTTTATTTCAGTACAGTACACCATTTGTACAGGAGACTTATATAGATATACATAGATAATATGTCATGTGCTCTTTTGATTCTGTCCACTGCCAGTAATGCATTATTAGTGTGAGCTATAATGTAGTGTATTGTTTTTTAAATCAATCCTTGCTTTAAACTGCATTATCTCCTAATGAGTACTTCTTCTTAAGTAATTCTCGAGTCTCTGCAACTCAGGTTTCAACCCGTATTGAAATTAGTTTAGAGATCCAGCGTCTGTCTGTAGTCTAGAGGAATGCAGTGAATGTGGAGTTTAATGCTTTGCAAAGTGTTTTGCATTAAAGTCAAATATACATAACAAGAGTTGCATTAGCATGTGAATCCACCATCACTTCACCGCAGAATAATGCATACAACCTGATCTTCTCAACAATATAGAGAACACAGTTTGCTGATTGTAGCTCATAGATTCTACTAATTAGGTACATGCAGACACATGTCTTCAACAAGAAATCTTCAAATGAGCTCACAGCACTGAATAATCAGCGTTTTTTGAATTTCCCAACGGGGATTAATAAAGTATTTCTTATTTTGATTCTGATTACTGAATGGAAATAAATTAGTGGTTTACTGGATAAAGATGGCTGTGCTCATCTGTCCAATCTTAGAGTAATGTCTGTAATCATAGACTGTATATAAATATTATTGATGTGACGGCTCCCCAAAAGTGAAGTCAAGTTGTTGCAATTGTCCCGTGATAGCTGGCGGCAGTATAGGTTCTAAACCCCACCTCCCTCTTGTAGATGAAATATTGACCAAACTAAAAGGTCAATGCACACGTTAAATAAATTTGCCAATGGCTGAGTACATGTATCGGTGGACCTTGCTATCACAGTTCCACCTGGCTCCAAATAATGTCATTGGCGCAGGATGGCAGTTTTTTGTATTTTGGGATAGTATGGCTTTATTTTTGGATAGTGGGAGAAGGGTTAGGGTTAAACCCCCTCTCAAAGGGGTTGAGGGGACAGGATAGACTTTTCGCACATACCCTAGATTTTATGTACTTGGTCTTATCAGAGTTTGATAACATTGATAACCTTTACTCTTACTTTGATTAACTGTACTTCAAAATAGAACTTTGGTCAAACTGTAACCGTATAGTCATCAGTTCTAAGCAAAAAGATTCACTGATTTACGGTGTTGTCGTGGGAGGAAGTTTTACATTTCAACTCAAGTATGCCTCGAAGGTATAAATAACCGTTAAAGAAAGAGCACAGTAATCTATATTGATTACTTTCTTTGAACAAATACCCACAAATTACTATTTATGGTTTTTCCTTTACGTGTTGTAAAGGGACTAAACGCTTTAAGAGTGGACAGGATGAGGGGAAAAAAGGAATTTAAATGGATGAATATGCACATAGTTGTTACGGGAGTGAAAGGGAGGAAGCAGGCAATAAAGGAAGAGCAGTGCTGTGGAGCATGATGACCTTGTAGTTCAGATATGACCAGCAAATTGGAAGCCCATTGAACTGTTAAACCTGAGTCTACCATTGCACATTTTTAGCGTGAGGTGAATTCCTGTAAAATCATGTGAGAAAGTTTTTGTCTTATTCCGAAATTGGTCTAGAGACTTTTTAGCATCAGGTTATTCAAGAGTTTTTGCTCAAGACTGTCTTCAACCCGTTTAGTTTACAGCAGCAGGTAACACAACAACTCCCCTCTCCAGGTCGTATCCCAGGTTAGCAAGCCAGGTGCAGTGGAAACCTGGCCCTTTGTTTGCAGTAGCAGTCAGCGGCAATATGAGATCACATTACTCTACATTATTCAGCTACAGCTGCAGTGATCCTCTCTTTTCTGTAAACTCACCACCCCTCCCTCTGTTTCTCCTCTTGTTCCCTCACTCATCAGCTTTATGCCACACCGGTTTGTCTGGGTAATACATGAGCTGGTAGACTTCGCCAAAACAGCTGTTACACAACAGTGATGTGCATGTGGAGGAAAAGACCAAACCTTTAGGTGTAGGTGATGTAAATAAGCTGTATGCTGTTTATGGACAGCTTTGTACACAGTTGGTATTTGGCAAGTTGGAAAAGCACAACTTTAAATAATAATAACATTAACTGATATTTAGAAATTCGATAGATTTGCCAGTTTCAGGATCCAGGTATCGTTAATGCCCAGGAACTGAATGACACATTGGAATAACTAAACCTGTATTTTCCTGCTATGATAAGTAGGAAGAAAGAAGTTAGGTTGATTCTCATATGGTGTGTTGGCAAGTGATTCTGAAGGTCAATATAATGATAAAAGCTCAGAGATTGCATAGGCTCACCAAGGCCAATGTCTTATCTCACTATGATAAGGAAAGCAGAAAAAACATCCTAGATATATCTGTTTATCTGGATTCATTCAAATATTTATGTAATATCCAAACTTCCACAAATCTTCATAAAAGTCAGTACAGAAGTAAAGAGTTCAGCTATGTACCAAATCTTGAAATGTTGTCACAAGTAGGGATACACAGATTGAGTCTATCAGATAGATACAGGCCTTTATATTGAGTATCCACACCTCATGAAGTTATTTGTCACTGTGTGTACTAAGAGTTACAATCATCTGGTCATGTTGGGCAGGTCAAATTTTGTATTTGGAAAAAAGAGAGCCCTTTAATCACGTACAGAAAGAGAAAAAGTCTTATCATGAATCCATAGTCTCAACATTTGGACAGTGTCCTTCACCAGGGTGTTGGACTCTACTGTAGTCATATAAGATGAGGAGCTCAGACCTCAGCCACTGATCCTGAACCAGCGGAGATGGGTCGAGTATCGGATCAGGATACCTTTTGGTGGCCAGCCTCCGTAGGTAGGCGAAATACAGGCCAGGAGGAGAGCTCGAGGTGGATCAAGAACACCTGAGGGATTACATATCACAACTGAACTGGGAATACTTAAGGATACACCAGAGGTAGCTGGGGGAGAGTCGGGTTGTAGCTGGTTGGAGAGAAGGGGGTCTGGACTATTGTAATTACATGTAGTTAGCTGTCACCATCTGCTCCATATATTTTACTTCACTACACAGGTTTTAATGGTGTTGCATCAACAGCTTGTCAATATTGCTGAGCTTTAAAAGCACAATATGTAGTTTATGTTCATGTAAACATTTAAGCTCCTGACTAACGACGATTCTCATGTTGTAAAGTATTTTAATTTGCACATTTGCAACCAGTTGTTGTTAAACATTAAAATAAATCATTGGAAATATATAAGCAACCTTAAATACACATATTGTTCTCAGTGGCTGCAGGAAAAGTGGGGATTTGCAATTGAATAAGGTTGCGACTCACCTAAGGTAAATGTTTTGACACATCTGACATTGTATTCAAAGGATTTCGATGGAAAAGTGAAAAGTCCAGAGATGTTTAGCAGTGTATGTCGATGATTTATATCTATTTGTGGGAAAGTATGGGGAGGGTAAACCTTAGCTTGTGTTTTGTACAACATCTGAAACACACACAGATACATTTGTATAAGGGTGTAACAACCACACACCAGTGGGAGGTGGGAATAGGGTGAGGTAGCCAGGTAGATCGTAAGGCGTGGTGGTGTAATGTTCCCCTCTGTGGTCTCAGTCATTCTTTCATGGGCAGATGGTAAGGCCACGTCTGGAGCCGCTCATGCTTTATTCATCATCAGCACACAGTAAGCTAGACTACCGGACAGTGCTTGTCTTTTGTCTGGAGTGTCTTTATCCATCTAGACCGCCTCACCTATTCTAGGACAGTCTCTCTAACCACACAGCACTGCGCCACTGGTCAATATTTGAAAGCTTCAGTTCATTACTAATGTAGAAGACATCGTTCCCTCCTCGGCCCCATCAGCCCACCTCTATCTGCGTTTTATTCCATCCTGAAGTTGTGGTAGAGTAAAACATCTTCAGTCCAGGATTGAAACATGCTCAGTACGCCAGCGCATGCGGATGTGTATAGTAAAGCAGAGTACATATTTGTACTTTTATCTTTGCCAAAGAGATGACCACACCTCTGTTGACTCTTGCACACAAATTATGTGTCATTAAACCTTTATGATAGAAATTTAATTGAGGCTTGATATTTTAAGACAAATACAATGAAATATATTGAACTTAAATTAAGAAAGTAAACCTTTAAATATTTTTTATAAATGTACATCTATACTGTGTAGTTTACTTTGTGAAATAAAGATTTTTTTCATCAGCGCATATTTGCAGATACAGATATGTCTGGGAAAGGCTTAATTCGACTGATTTTATTGGAAAACTGACCTCACGCAGTTCGCTCTCTCGTGCAACTGAGCCCGCGTGACGGGTACACAGAATAGAAACTTTTGCGTGTGAGAGAGCTGCTTTAAAAGCCACTTGCAAGTACGTACAAAGGTGCTGGTGAAACCGAGGCCTTGCTAACTGCGTGGACTGTAAAAACTTTATAGGTGATTACACAAGCGTGCAAGAGAGAGACAGAGTGAGCACAAGACAAATTGTGCTGCAAGGAAACAATGGTTTGAAACACTAACTTACAGATCTGTTATGTTGTTATGAAAAGGGCACATCTTTTTGGTTCCTAATGAAACTGGTAGGATTACAATAGGGCAGATCAAATATTTTTGTTTTTGCTCAAATTTGAAGATAAAGATTTATAGGAGAATTTGACTTCACCAGAACAAACCTCCGCCGGATATTTATGCATGTCTTTTGTCGCCTCTTCTGCTGTCACAGGTCCCGGAGTTGTCCTTGAACGTCAGCTGTGTTTGTTTCCATGCTCATGTTTGTTTGCTCACCCAGCTTGCGCTCTGTCTGTTTCCCAGTTCTTCAGGAAGGACCAGGGGGATTTCTTCATTGGCTGCTTGTTTCTAACAGAGCTCAGCACTCCCTTTGTCTCCCTGGGGAAGATACTCATTCAGGTGAGACAGAACCTAATATACACATGTGCATTCACCAGACTCAGACCAGGCAGTCGTACATCTGTCATGTCTGAGCCTCATTTCTTTAAAATCTTTAAAAGCTCTGTTTTGATAATATTAAGGGTAAAGGGCCACCATCACTTTGTTAGACAGGTCACTTACCACAAAGTTAGATAATCATTTACTGAAATAGCTTAGCAACCACGACCAAGCAAAGTGGGCCTGTCTCTATATACTGAAACTGTGGGCAAGGGGCACAAGAGTTACATAAATACTCTTTTCTACCTTGTCCTAAAGCATGTCATGCTTACTAGCTCGCTACAGACAGTACCTCAAATAACTTCAACTGTCATAAAATCTCAAAAGGTGTTTAGTTTGTCCATTCTGGGCTACTGTAAAAAACATGGATGCCTCTGTAGAGAGGACCCGCTCCAAATGTAAATATAAAGGGCTCATTTTAGGGTGAATAGAACAACAATTCATACAATTTATATGATTAGTATCACAGCATCACTAGGATTATTTTATATTCAGTTCATGCCTATTGATCCCTTTCACCTACATTTCACACACTGGACCTTTAAGCCATCCAGCATCGGTGTTAGAACTCTATTCGTCCATTTTGTCTCTGCTCAGGTGATCAGCTGTGCCTTGCATCATCAAAAACATGTCTCCATTAAATGTGGGATGCAGCTTGTCACTGTAGCATCAATAATTAAGGTGCATGGCTCACCCCAGATAAAAACAATCAAAAAACAAATGGTTAGCATTCAGTGAAAAGGCCCTGATTATTCTCCCTGGATTCTCACCCATCCACTGGAGTCACTGCTTTCATTAGTTCCACACATACAGTGGGCATTACATCCTGTAGTCAGTCTAGCACATATGCGTTGTACAGTCAGAGGCAGTGTGTCTTAGAAAAGGAGCAATCTAAGAATAGAAGAGTGTTAGTTTGTACTCCAGTGAAATCAGTGAGGCGTGAGCTTTCAGGTCTTTACTGACATCTGGTGTCAGCAAAGAAAAAGAGCAAAGCAAAGCTCCACTGTTCTTCTCTGTCTTTAATAATGCTGCCCTCCTTTGGATTCGATCAGCACTCACAGAAACTCTGCCAGACACTTTTTACTGCTCTCAACAGCAGAGTTGGTCTTTATTGATTTCTGTTGCGTCGACCAGGATCGTCACAGTGCTTCACTCCAAAGATAAGATGAGGATATTTGTAATCAAGGTGAAGAAAACAACATCTGAGGCCCAGACGTTTCTCACTCGTATCAGTGACATAACCTCATTACATTATATGATCAGGCTGTACTTTAGCTTATAAAAATAAAGTTTATTTATGGAACACTTTTCATAGCATAGCATGCAGCTCAATGTGCTTTACATGAAAAGGGAAACCAAGAGATAACTCAACGATTGAAACTTGGAAACAGGGTTCGAACTCGGAAAATGTATTTTGTCTTTTACCACTATTTTAAAACTGTCATCCACATCCTCTCTCTGTCTCTCCCTCCTATTTGTCTTTTCTCCACCAGCTTGCCCTCCAGAACTGCTGGCTGCACAAGGCCAATGGCGGTATGGTACTGCTCACCTTCTTTATGTGCCGCATCGCTCTCTTCCCCTACATGTACTGGATGTACGGCCGCCACTTTGGAATCCCGCTCTACAGCGTGCCCTTCCACCTGCCACTGTCGGCCAACCTGGGCAGCTTGTGCATCCTGGCACCACAGGTCTACTGGTTCGTGCTGCTTTGCCGGAAAGGCTACCGCCTGTACAAGCGTAGCCGATGGCCCGATCCGTCTCCTGCAGTCACAGTCACTGACAATTCTAAGGATGATTGATATCCGGTTCACGATTGCTCGCTCAAGCTGCACACTCAGCTACTAACGCAACTACTTCTACAGAGGCACTAGTTTGACTTAACATTTTTCGAACCCCACCATTGTACTGTAGTACACCAGGACTGCCTGCTGTTGTCCCACAATTCCTGGGCATTTTCCGCACACTTTTAATTCCTCTGTTACAAATCTGCTGCCTACATGGACCTCTCCACCGAACTCTAACTACTGAAGTTTGCTGACTGGGGTGTTTTTTTTTTTTTTTTGGTTTTGGCTCTAGCCTGGATCTTGTTGAAGTGCAACCCTGCGTCTGTCTACATCCTCAACACGGAAGAATGGTCATGTTTGCTTCACTGAGAGTAAAATGTGGAGTCAAAAGCACCAAAAACTGAAGAGGAGCTTCCACGGACAGACATCTTATCTCTTACTCCTACTGTGTTTACAGCCTCTGCTGATTTGAAAGGTCTGTTACAGTTTGTGTGTGTGTGTGTGCGTGTGAGCGGCTGTTGCAACAGGTTGTATTTATTTTTATGTTTTTTCTGTACTGTGTCCGATAGTTTCCCATCTCATCCATTGACTAATCAAAGAAGAAGGATTAGGATATCGGTGGGTGCGAACTCAGGCAGTATTAGCAGGAAATAGTATGAAGAGAACAAGTCACCTCATCCACACTAGAGAAATAACAGCTACAGTTGTTAATACCCATTAATGTGATGTAATGTTAAGGTTTCAGCCCTGTTTATTGTGTTTGTAGTTTCCCACACAGCATGCCATCACAGCAACCACCCCACATTCCTCACTGGAACATCCAGCACAGATTAATAGTCCTGATTCTTTTGTTTTCAGTATCCATCCCCTTCAATAGAGCTGCTGTGGCTCAGTATGCATACTGTATCCCCGTGAATTTACGCTGCACATGTACTCTCAACATTTTTAAAGGGTTAGGAGGAAATATCGTCCTGTGTCGGTGCTTGAGAATGGCGGCACCAATGAGAGGTTTTAGCCGAGGGGAACCATTCTTCATTTGAATCATTAAGAGGTGCTTGGCACAAAATACGCCCATGTTGGATTCTGGAAAGACCTCAAAATAATCACCTTTAGAAAAATATAAACCAGGCACCGCATAATACGTCAACAGGATCAGATTTGGACGAACCTGCACCTGGATGAAGTTCAGATTATGAGTATCTGCTTGAACGTGTGAGGATTTTTCCCCGGTCCTGCAGAGCAGAGGGTCAGTTTGGCTTCATGCTTCTGAGAGTTTATGTTTTGGATCCACAGTCTTTGTTTGAAACGTCGCAGCTGTCATAGAAATGCTGACAGTCTACCTGTTGAAGATTAGTTTTCTCCTACAGGCGTTGGAGACATGGTAGAGCCGTGGGACAAACTCAGGGTCAAGGTCAGAGCAATAAGGTGAGCAGGGGCTCACCAGGGCAAAATAATAGAGGTTTGACATTTCTGAGCAATTATCCACATATATAACACATATAAATTGAGGATATCGGGAGTAATTATTCCTGTAACACACTTGGAAGATGAAGTTCAGTAAGTGTTGAGTTTCCCCAGGACTCCAGAAATTTGTATGCACTTCACACAGGGCTGTACATACTTAATGTTTTTAGACATTTACATCATGTTTTAATCATATAAAGCTAGTTTTAAACCTTAATCTTATATCTATATCATGCAAAGCAATTACCTTTGGATTCACAGTTGCATAATGACATTTATCTTAGACTTAAAGGCATTTCATTTTGAATATTTCTTCATATCAAATAATAAATAGAAGATATAATTTCTGCAGGGTTTGTTTCGTACACAGTCTTAGACCCTGAGTTATTTAAAATCCTTGGATAATATTCTTGGTCATTCAAGCTTTATACTGAACTAACTGATTAAGAATGTGTTAATGGCCTTTTTTTATCTATGCAAAAAGAGGCTGCAGTGCATCTATACAACACTAACGTCAAGCCATATCTAATCGACCCACGCCTCAGTATGTCATGACCGTTTAAATATTTGGGGAACTACATTTACTTTCCACTTGTACATTTCTACCGGGACTCCAAACCACAAATGCTTGAAGAATTATGTTTGACGTTTTTTTTTTTGTTTTTTTCTCCTCATATCTTTCAAATTTACCTATGAAATGCTGAAATCTGTAACATGCATATTTACAGTTTTGGACTCGTACAACACTATAACAAATTAAGCTCTGTTGACAAATCTGAAGGAGTTTTGCTGTTTGGATACTGACTTGATTGATCTGTCACTAAGAAGCTTAATGCTTAACAACACTAAAACCTACGTTGCAAATGAGTTAACAGACTTTGGCAGTTGGAGAAGTTATCTCAGTAGCATCTTCTAAAAGGAGGTTTTCTGTTTTATGAATTCTTTTTAAATCTTTGGTTTCTTGAATATTTGGGGAACATCTTTTTTTTAGTTTCTTCCATTTTCCAATTCAATAACCCAGTTGTGTTGCTGAGCAGCAGCTGCATCAAATGACAGTTGTGAAATTTCTGTTCATTTCTACTCAAAACATTTCTATTTTCCCCCATGTTTGAATTATAACTTGAATTTCTAACAGCAAGTTACAGCCCCTTAACTTGAAGGCTCTTTTGAGTCGCTAATTCATTTTTCCTCTGAAATAAGCAAAACCATAGACTGGACCATAAGACTGTAAATAAACATGGATGATGTGTCTCCACCGTTTCCCCATTATCCAGAAATGCAGCCAAAATATCCCAGATTCATCTTTTAATGTCACGAGGAGCCAGAATCTGCACAGTCGTGATAGCAGAGCGGAGCCGTGGTATCAGGATCCTGTCAATATGCACGCTCAACCAATCATGCTAATCATGAGGTTTTATATCATCAAATAACAAGATGAAACTTATCTGAAAAGTTAAAACTTGAATAAACATCAGTTTGATAAAATGACAGAAACTATCTTTGGGACATTGTGGCTTCTGTCGTGTTTCTGTGCCCTTGTTCTGCAATCTTGTTGTTGCGGTAAACACTTGTCTGTTGGAAGCAGCTTTAGACAGAGAAGGTGATGAGTCGTCTTGATTGTGGACAGACGGCTTGTTTGCTGACTAACAGTATGAGGATGAGGGAGTAATGGGAGATGAGCTGCTGAATGATGGGCTTGTTTGTCCGGTTTGGCTGGAGCCCAGCAGAGTGCAGGCCTCTTTTTGTCCACGGTTCACTGGGCCTCTGTTACTGGAAACATCCCAGGCTCTTTGTTCTGCTCTCAGCTCAACGCTCCCAGCCTGTGTTTTATTCTTATTTTACTGTCCTGTTTTTGCTCTGCTCGGCCTCTTCCATCCACACTCTGGATGTGTAGTGAAAAGGCTTAACAGCCACCAACAAAAAAATATGGTAAATTTTACTCTTACACTTTATGATGTATTTAAGAGCTTGTTTAAAGTCTCCGCTTTCACTGTAGTTCACTGGTTGTAACGTAAGTCAACCGTTTTCATTTATTATTTTATTTAAAAGCTGCAGCTCATTCTTTTTCCACCTATCATCTTTCTTCCAGCCTCCATCCTCTTTCCTTCCTTCCTTCCTTCCTTCCTTCCATCCATCCATATCTGCTCCACCCCCCCTCATGTTAACTCATCCCGGTCTGTTGTCTGATTTCTGCTGCAGTCACAGGAAGTTGCTGAGAGTGTATGCGGAGCGGTGAGGCCGCTCCTCCTCTCTGCTGCCATCTGTTGTCAGGATTATCTGTTGTCCACTCAGCAGCTCTCAGGCAACGACCATCAGGATTAGTTTTAGGAGTAGTTGGGCCTTTTCTGTTGAAACTGTGCGTGTCTCTCATCCCATCCACTTCCTTTAGATACATATATCTCAATTTTCAGCCAGGATGACCTCAATCTCCACTGACTACACTGTAAAAACCGACAGGCAGCGTTGTTTTCGTGTTTTTCGGAAGATTTTGAAAATTTGATATTGGCAATATTAAATCATGCATTGCTTTGCATTTGAAAGAACTTCTTGACTAAAGCCTTCTTGACGTGTAGTGGCCTGTTTTGACTGTATGAGCTTTGCAGAAAACTGAACCACATTTGAAGCTTTTCAAAGCATTTTCAGTTTAATCTAAAGTTCGCTCTCATTCTGACGGGTCCAATTTAGAATAATGGCAACCGACAAAATTGACTCACGGTTATACAAATGAAATTCCGTGAGCTGGACCATTTTGATTTTAACAGCAGCGTCTTGTCTCTTGGCTTAAAAATCGTGGAATAACTACAGAAAAAATAACATTCCACTGTTTTTCATCAACGCTTTATTATATTTGATCATTATTTTGTTTTAGAATTTTGCTCTTGGTTTTTTTTTTGCATACTTTAGGGGCACATGTCCAGACTTCAAATGGAATTGCTATATTGCCGCTTGATTTTAAAATAAACAGATTTTATGGATTGGCCAATGTATGTTTTTTTATTTTGTTTTAGAAAACCTTGAAAATCTAATGAATGAATCGGACTTTACGTCGTTAAAAAGTTTTGCTCCAGAGACGTGACGGCAGGATGACGAACCTCGTCTTCAGTTGCTCTGCGCCACAGAGAATCCCTCAGAACACAGTATGAAAGCTTCTTGGTTCAACACAGAGGACATATCTTAACAGGTCGTCTTTGTCACTCAAAAGATTCTTAACATACAAAGTCTTAAGTTCACCTCTCTGCTCAGGGTTTGATGAAGTCTGATGAGGTGTGTGTGTGCGTGTATAGAGGTGTATTGTAAGAAGCTGTGAGACTGACTCTGAAGATGCAGATTCTTTTTCTATACGTGTGTTTTCAACATATTTTTTTTTTCCTAGATTTGCTTCTATTTATGATTTCTGACACGGCTTCTGATACTTCAACTCCCAGGGGGTTGTAAAACCAAAGACTGTCAGGCACTTTAGTCAATCATTGTAGCTGTGGTGACATGAAGAGAGATCGGTTTTGATTTCTGCTGTAGATGATTTCTCTTAAACACAACTTGGTGGGGGACCAACTTGGTGGTCTGAGGAGGTGGTGGAGTAAATACACACTAATCAGGTGTTAAATTGATCCTCCACTAACATGCAACCTTTACTTAGAGTACAGTTACATGTCCAGGTCTCTGAAACTACATAATGATTATAATTATACATTTAACGGACACATTTAATGCACAATATGTCATTTTCTGCCACTCGTAGTCTCTCCATCTGAACATTAACGAAAGAGGTAGTTCGGTCCTTCAGGAATTATCCGCAGACGTCTCCTCTACAAAATAAACAGACTATGTTTAAAATGAGTAAAAACACTGAATTAAGCAGTTTTCGTGTTAAAAGTGATTTTTTTTTTTTATGTGTTTTCTTTGACGCTCGTTGGCGGACACCGGACGTCTGCAGGTGGTGCTGTAAATTGCACGATTGTCAACAACCAGTCAAACAGCGATGGCTAATTCTGCTGCTGGTTTAAAGCAGAGATGTTCTGATAATTGTTTTTCCCTTCCAGCATGAAATATTCCCACATTGCTGACATTTTAGCTAGCGCTGGCTAACGCTACACGACCGGAAATCACTTCTCTAAAACAGCGAAGAAGGGATTTCCAGATTACTGTTTCATCTGGGTGAAAATAATCTGCTTTGAAGATGCGGTTTCAGATTGGTCCATATGAATTTGCGTCCTCTCCGACCACATACTTGACAAAGGCTCAAAGATAACACCTAACAATATCAAAACCAAAATGCAGAACAGTACGATGCTCATGAATCTTCCTTTCACGTTTGGAGTTACTGTTGGGACGTGAATGGTGACGATAACAGCGTGCGGCGTCTCCTCTGCCACCAAGACACTTGTTTTATTATTTTGCTGCTTTGCATCGTCACATATCTGCACACGGTCCTTTTCTCGTTATAAACACGGAACGCTTAAAGGAAATAAATTAAAGCTACGTTCATGTCATGTTGGATTAATCGCTGGGGTCAGACTATATTATAATATTAGCATGAAAATGGCGTTGGGAACAAAAGTGAGACAAATTCTGCTTTTAAACTTGTAGCATCAATATTGTGTTGTTTGTTTTTTTTTCTTCTGAAATGATGTGAATGCAGCATTAGACTGATGAAATGCACAAAAATGAATAGAAACTGTTGCTGGGGCTGATTTTGATCTTTGGACCGTGAACCAGACTTGGTCTCCTGTGCCTTGTGATAAATCTACTTACCCACAAATCTCAGTGTGAAAGCGTAAAGCTGGCAGGCAGTGTTTACAGGTTGTGGCTGTATTTAATGGTTTATCATCATCATCACCATTGCTCCAGCAATTAAATCAAGTTAAAGACGGTGATTGAAACTATTTTAAACCTGATCGCTTTGCATTTACTGCTAGAACGAGAATAAAATTAAAGCCTTTACAATAATATTTAGTAGGATTTCACATTTTGTAGCATTTAATTTATATTTTCAAATCATCACGCAAATCCCATGATGTTGTTTTTCTACATGGAATCATTTGAGGATGAAACCCTTTAAAGCAAAGACTTGTTCTAGTCTCGACTATGTTTGTGTCTCCGTTGTTTTTAGAGCTTTTCATCAGTTTGGTGGATGTGGAAGTTTTGGAGATTTGAATCTGCTCTTCATGTTATTCACCTTGTTTTTTTTTGCTCTGGGTGTGTGAATGACTCGAAGGCAGCACCATCACAACCTTTAACACTTCCTGCCCCCACATTATTTTTGATAGCATTCTAATTTTTCATACATATCTATCGATCAGATTTGATGCATCTGTCCTTTTTTGTAGCGTGACCTTTTCTGAGGAACTTTGCTACCTGAAAAGAGACTGGACTGTTTTTTTGAATCTAACTTAAAACAATTGATGTATAAGATGAGTTATGTACTGTAGCTGCAACTAGTGAATTCAGAGCACCCCTTTAAAATTCAATAAATTTTATTTGATAGACTGTTTAGAGGAAGTCTCTGCTTTATTTGACCTGTCTTGTCATGTCTTTACGTTGTGTCTCCTTGTTTCCTCTTTCATTCCCGCTCCTCACCCTGAACGTCTGTTGGTGAGTGGGTACCGTCTCCTGTGAGTAAGTGTGGAACTGACTGACTCAGAGTAAAGCTGAACTGCAGATCGGTTAAAACACTGTAATTAAGGTCAAACACATTAACATGAAAAACACGACATCGCTCGGACACACAGTTCAAACAAAATGAATCCCTACATGTGGCTGCAGAGGGCGCTGTGGCTCAGTAAAATTGGATTTGTGTTGCTTTAAATAAAAATGACCTACATTTCCTTTCAAATGCTTTTTGTTCAGTGTGTGGTTGTGGTGCCTTCAGGTCTTCAGTCAGTTGTAATGTGAATACATGGCCACTTGGAGGCGCTGGTGGCTCAAGTTGACACCCAAGGCTGAGTTTCGTCAGTCAGTTAGTTAGTTAGTTAGTTAGTCAGTTAGTTAGTTCGTTAGTTAGTTGGTTAGTTAGTTAGTTGGTTAGTTAGTTAGTTTGTTAGTCAGTCAGTTAGTTCTTTATTGATCCCCACAAACTTAAAGAGTGGTGTTATGAACATCTGCTTACAACTGTTAATTACAAACTATTTATTAAAGGTTCATATAGTCCTTTAAATGCATTGTTACAAACATTTATATTTTATTCGTACATATACATATTAACATATGTACAATTCATAGTTTTACATAAAATTTATATTTTATTTTATCGGGTGAAATTTAGTTAAAACTTGAGAAAACATTCAAATGGACGGATGAAGAAATGTCGCAATTTATCGAAAATACCCCGTAAAAACATTAAAGTGAAATAAGAAAATATTATTATTATTATTACGAAAGAAATGACTTTGTGTGGTGAAAATCAGCACATTTAATTTAGATTTAACGGACTGACTCCGTGATTCTGACATCACTGATAAAATGTAAATGTGACGTGTTGCCACCATGAGCCTTAAAGGATTTTAGGTTTTATTTCAACTCGTATAAACTTAATTGTGCAGTTTTCTCCACACGCTGCTCGTGTCCAGGTCCTGGAAAACAATTTATGAAATCTAAACTATTCAAACTTCTGTGTTCGATGTCACAGCCTTTATTTGTCTTCAAGCTCAGAAAACATGGTCTTTTTTTGAACTGTGGTACATTTTAAATATTACTTTCTCCTGCTGCACTTTAGTTACAGTCACAAAATCCGTCTTCACATCAAATGAACCCCAGGACACTTCTGTGACTGCATAAAAGAGACAAAAATATTTTAATAATCCCGACCCCCTCCTCCCTATTTTGGTTCTTTTCACGCCCCTGTCACGTCCCTAAATACTGAGCGGAACCTGTTGCTCCGAGGCCACAAATAGCTTAAACAACACAGGGAGCAGGGGCAGGAGGGGTGAACGTCTAGGAAACACATAGTGGATGCATCAGCCCGGAGGAACGTCTCTGCCACTTCAACAGGATCCCTTCAGAAGGTTAGTCTGATCACTGCGCTGCTCCTCCACAAACACCGAGAACCTGATCTGCCCGTGCTGTGCCTAATCTCTTTTCCCAGGATGACATTGTGCATGAGTTTTCTGTGGCTTATAAATAACAGCCGCTCTTGCTTTGACCAGATGAGAGGAGAGAGTAAGAGAATACGCACGATGAGAGAAGTCCTCCATGGAGCTTGATGGGACTTTAAGACCGACGTATCTTGTGACCCCCACCCCCCCTCCACAGGTCATCCTTCAAAAACTATTTGGATCTTCAAGTTTGCTGGAAAGCTGACATGGAACACTTCAGGTATCTCTGAAGGAAGGAGTGAGTAGAAGAAGGACAAGACAAGTAGGAAGGTTTGGTTTCTGAGCTCCTCGTCGACCACCCTGCCTCTTAACTTGAAACTCTGGGTTGGTGAGGGTCCCGTCAACATGGACGTCACTACAGAAGGTGTTCAGGATGCGATGGTAAGCGAGGCCCTTGTTCAATTCAAGTCCACCTTGCAGGCTGCGGTAAGGGAGGTACACGTGGACGTAAGTGCTTTCAAGCAACGCATAGAACAGAGGATAGATGAGCTGTGCGTTTCCAACGGACCCTTGGCCGAGGCGGTGACCAGGCTGGAGGAGGAGAACCTGCAGCTCAGAGCGAGGCTGGAGGCCCTCAGCCGCCTGGTGGAGGGCATCTCCGGAGTATCAGTGGACAGGAGTCCTGCCGAAGTGAAGGGGAAGAGCGAGAAGGGGAGTTTAGAGAATGGACATGCACAAATACAATCCAAGACCCAGGAAGACAAGAGGGGCTTGCTCACCTCCGGGAGGTCAGAAGACAGCCTGTCCAGTCTGTCTTCATACTCTGATCCAGCTGCGTCAAGTGGAGGATCGGGCCACGCTCCTGCTGCTGGTACCAGAATCACCCCTGCACCTCCTCCGTGGAGAGCAAAGAGACACGCTGACGTCAACGTGAGTAAACGTTACTGGTATTAAAAGTTTATTATATCGGCACTAAAATCCATCAACAAGGTGAGAAAGATGGTCGACAAAGGATCACTGGCGTTTTATTCACTCGGCCTTTGTTCACCTCTAACTCCCTCCTACTGACACATGGATGAGTGTGAAGGATTATCAGATGCCACCACTCAGCACCATGTTTATAACCATGTCAGGAAAGATTTATTCAACGCTGTTAAATTATCGCAGTGACAATTAGAGTCCGACCGGTTAGTGAGTTGGCCGATATGAACCTTTCCCAGACACGAGATGTGCATTTATGTTTATAGTTTCAAAACGTATTTATTTTCTGAATTTAATTTCTGTTATTTCTTTCACTTTCTTTAAAATTGGCAGATGAACATTTATTTATTTATTTATTTTACATTTCGATTAATTACACAAGAGATAAATAATGGATGTTGATCATTTAGGGAACTGATATCTATGAGAGTGTCACATTTGGGGAAGCTTGATTGAATTTAACTGTTCGTCCTAGCGGCGGTATGAGCGACATTTCAGTGAATTTCTTTGTCATAAAGATTTGATAACAACATTTTTGGAATCATTTAAAATTTTAAATTCACTAATTTATTGATATTGAAAGTTTTTTAGTCCCTGATATCGACCTCTGGCCCCAAAAATCCATGTTGCTTCAGACGCCAATGAAAATCATTTAATTCTCCATCACAAAACAAGTGAGATCAACTTTCCAATGACCTCAGTCACAGTCACCGTTTAAACGTGGTTGAACTTTTCCTCTTGACCCACATGACATCAACACAGTGACCTCACTGAAATGAATCAAGTAGCTGCCGTGTCAACATCTTTTTGAACTCGGCCAAAGTGTCTGGAGAACTCGACCACGCCGAGGAAATCTAACCTGACTTTCGAGGTGCGACTTTTTTTTTTTTTTTTTAACTTGTGCTTCAAATATTTAGAACATAACAGTCACACCTGACTCTGTACGTCTTCTCTCCCTGAGCACATTGTTTTTAGCACCGTACAGTACGATCCGTCCAAATGTCACAATAGATTATGCCCCCTCCCCCCAATCCATCCATCAGAACACGGTGGTCACATTCTTCGGCCTGAATGTCGTGACTGTAAAAGTGTACGTCCCCGGTTGTGTAAGGAAAGCTGTGCATGTAAAACATTCATCCTTCAAAAGTTCAGACGTGCTCAGGAACTAAACCTTCCTCCTCTATAAAGACTGAGGATTTGAATGAGTGAATGTGTGGCGGGGGCCTCAGCTAGAATCTGAGGACTCTGGAATATGTTTGTCTCGTGTATATTTAACCTCTAATGGGCTCATCGGCTCTGCATCACCTGCTAGCAAATATTTCCAGTTGCAGACCAATATTAATAACATTTAACTTTATTAAAACCTAAACATTATACCACTTCCACTGTATATTCTGAAACCACTAAATCTCAACACCGCCGCCCCTCCCTACCCCCCCATCCCCCATCCCCCATCCCCCTATGACCTGCTTTTATAACCGCAGGTCCTCGAAAGGCCACATGTATTTTTGGGTGAGTGATTTGGGGCTGCATCTCTTTGGAGCCTCTGTTCGCTCCACTCTGACTTCAGCTCATCTTAAAAACAGCTTACAGTAAAAAAAACACGCTGTGTGACTGCAGAGGGGGACAAATGGAATTTAAGAAAAGCAAATGCAACCAAACAAATGTTATTTTATTCAAGAAACTATACAAGAATATACGTCTGCATTATTTATTCTGCAAAATACAACTTTTATTTCTGCAAACATTAATGCAGATACCGACATGTCCATGAAAGGCTCATATCCGCCGATTTTTACCGACCGACTAATAAACAGTCGAGCTGCACTTTATATTTTTCTGTGCGTACAGTAAGCACATTGCTTTGTCTTTTTAATGATGTAACTCACACGTAAGCTTTAAGGGTGTATAAATAATTTCCTGTCCTCTACTCGCTCAGGAATCTCCACCTCTCAAATCTCAGAGTGGAAAGTAAAATTTCCGTTTGCGTCCCACACCCCGAGCGGGACGACCAGCTGTCCTGTCGAAACACAGGCCCTGCCAACATTCCTCTGTGCTGAAGTCACCCGGTCATTTCCCAGCCCCCCACTCTGACGTACAACAGTTCAACCCCCTAAGATAGCCCCCGTATTTAACACTGAGCGTATTCAAATTTGACCTCATTCTTCCTCAGTGGTTTTTAAATGTTATTATTTTTCCGCTCAGCTCAGCTAGCAATAGTCGACCTAAATTGGGAGGACGCTGTGTCCAACAGTTTTTGTAACTTTGCAAAACCAAAATCAACCCAAACATGAGCACATCATGCAGGGACTGAAAAGTTTGGCAAATGTCCCCCTCACTTTTTTATTTTATGTAAAATTATTTGTTTAGTTAACACCACCAATGTCTTCAAATACAAACTGTGCAAATAGAAATCACCATTTGAACAATTTTCTTGTCTGATGCCAAATGTCTGAAGATGTCTTATCCCAAATGTCCACTTGAGGCCAGCTCTTAAAAATCTGTCAACGTCCTCCTCCGATGAATCACATAAAGTTAAAGTTACGATCTCAGTTAGCGTTTCTTACCTCCGTCATGGAGGTCAGGTCTTCATCCCAGCTGAAACTGCTGAACACATTTCCATGACACTTGGTAGAAGCCAAGAAACAACTCAAATTGGCTGAACCAGGTTTTTTTTTTCTCACTTTCTTTAAATTTGCATTTTTGACATTTTCACCAGTTTTCAAGGGAATAATTCCTGGATCTTGATGAAACAGAATTCTGGCACATTCAGACGACTGATATCTATCAGTCGTCTGAATGTGCTCTAGTGAGTTACATTTGTTTCCCTGCCCCTTTTCTTTTATCTGACCCACATTAGCGACAGCCACTTCCCAAATGACTTCATATTTCGAGAGGTGTTTGTGTAAACGGTCTATGGGATCAGCTGATCACAAACTGTCTGTGGGACAGTGTCTCCAAGTTGTCCGGTTGGGTGACGTGTGTGCACCTCGTCGGCCATTAAGTGTGAGAAATGGAATTTATAAATCTGAAATATACGTTTAAAAAGTTAATATTTGCAAAAATAATGGTTAAAATTAAAGGTTTTATTTAATTGTTTAAACCAGAGGATCATTTCCCTGTCACTTCTGTAACGATGCACGTGCCTGTGTGTGTGTGTGTGTGTGTGTGTGTGTGTGTGTACGTCCGTAACCAGCCATCGTACGTTAACGTGCTTCTAAGGAGCCACAGTGACATGGATGTAGGGATTAACAGGGTCAGACTGTGATATCATGCTGCAGCTCTTGTGGAGCCCACAGATCACCACAGTGCTTATCTTCCTCGTGGTGTCGAGTTGACAGACTGAGTGTGTAATGGCTTTATTATGAGGCTGCCAGGCAACTGAGGGTCTCTGGAAAGCAAAAGGTTGCAGAGGGGTGTGGGGGGGGTGTGGGGGGGGGGTAGATGCAGGCCGGGGCTTCTGGCTGATATACCTCGGTGCTGTTTGAACTGCTCAGTCTAACTCCCTGATTTCCAAAGCATCCATTTGGGGCTATATTGGGATGTAAGAAGAGTTGAACGGAAACTCTTGCAAAGGGGCTGATTGCAAAATCTAAAATAGGCTCTGAGAGGGAACATGGGTTTGTTGGCCACAGCTGTCATGAAAGGAGAAGGTTTCAGCAGTGAACAGCTGAAGAACACACTCACACACACACATCAACAGATTCACCACGGATGATTAAAAACTGAAATTATTTTATCTCTGCAGCACGCAGCAGTGTGACCGACACGTTTTCTTTTTTAGTCTTTGTTTGTTGTGAGCGGATCAGTGTTGCTGAGGCAAACAGACGAGCACACGAAGCATGCTTCTTTGCATCCCTCACTGAAAGGTTCCAGCTAATGCCATTACTAAGACAGCTAAATGAAGGAAAGCTGATTTTTTGAAAAAGCAGAACAGAGAAATGCAAATCAATATTAAAGTACTTGAATCAAGTTTGGTAGAAATCAGTTCTTTAGTGCCGAGGCCCAACGGTCAATTCAAGTCAATCACATTCACAGATATCAGCTCCTGGAATGTGCCTGATTGTTTTCATCGAGATCCAAGAACTGTTTTTGAGAAATTGGTGATAAAACATCCTTGATCGGTTCCTTTGTTCAGATCCACTCCAATATTTTATGACTTCTTTCCTGACCCATGTCGCTTCCTTCCACTAAATTTCCCAGAAATCTGTTCTGTAGTTTTTGCGTAATCCTTTGTTGGAGGCAATAACATTCTGTCAGTGCAAAATTCACCTTAACTCTAAACTTTAAACCACCACATGGAGTCAGAGGCATCGTGGAGGAGGAAACTACTTCCCATGCATTAATAAAATAACTCTTATTGACAATAATTCAAATTACGCTTATGTTAAGTGAAGGAGTGCATGATCCATTTATGTCTGTGTGCATGAATATAAGGATTCTTACTCTTCATACGTGGATAATGTTGTTTATCACTTCTCCATTAATGTGGTGTCTTCTTTCAGTCCCAGAGTTACACATGAATAGACACTGTCCAGCTTTTAACAGTTGCATGTTTTGAACCTCTTGTCTTTTCTGAGTAGGGCACTGATGCAAAAGAAGAGAAGAAAGTCACCGCAGCTCCGGAGGAAAACGGGAAACAAGGTAGGCTGATGGACTGAAAGGTTTCACACGGGTCACCTGACGAGCCGAGCTCACCTGGGGTTCTGCTTTTTCAGAAAGCTCCTCGGTGCATGTTGGTGATGCAGCTGGAACTGATGGAGCCGCTCCTCAGTCTCATCAGCCTCTCACCGCCGTCACCAAACCAAACACTGAGGCTCCTGTCACCACCAATCCACTCCAGTCTGCGGCGGAGACACAGAGAGTAACAGGTTGGTTGACTGAAGGTCACATGACACACACACACACACACACACACACACACACACACACACACACACACGCACACACACACACACACATACACAAGCACATAAAATAACATCTGTTGTTGAATCTCCATCATCGGACATTGACATTGTGATTTAAATTCACTGTCGACAGTGGTTTGTTAAACAAAATCATAAAAACTTTTCAAATGTAAAACTATAACTCAACAAATTATAAATCTGTTGCAAATTTTAATGTCACGTTTATTATGTACAAGTGACGTTATTGTGCATTTGTACCTGTGATTTCAAACCTGTAATAATTATGTTGTGTTAAATGTAAAAATACTGACACATTTAAATCGACGCTCCTAAGAACTCAATCCACATTTTCTCTTTCAGAACAGGAAGAATCAGCTCTTCTGAACAAACCCCACCTTCCGCTCACGTCCATGACAAAAACAAACTCCGAAGCTCTGTCTGTCGCTCAGTCTTCAGCCCCTGTGGCCAAAGCAACGAGAGAAACTCCAGTGAAACCAGTGGAACCTGCTGCTAAATGTGGTGAGTGGAGAATTTCAGTTGCTCATATGTTGTTTCAGTTGAGTCTCATCCACGGTGGTCGCCCTGCATGGACATGTAGATATAATTAATAGACATTAATAGAGTCTTTTTTAAACCTCCATCACAGTTTGACGTCACTCTTTATTCAGATTCTCCCTTTTTCAGATGCTGACGAACCTCTGCCGCATCTTCCCGTCACTGCCATGACCACCAAACCCAGTCCTGAGGCTCCGCTCACCTCCAGATCTGCTCAGTGTCCCGCAGCAGAACCCAGAGCTGCAGAGGCTCCAACAGGAGAGAGTTCATTCATAAAAGGTCAGTTAGTTTCATCTGTGACCGATGGGAGTGAGTGAAGACACGTCGTCCCTTTTCCAGATTTAGGGTTTTCTTATTTCGTGACACTTTAAACACGTTTTCTCCAAAAAGAATTGAAAGAAATTGTTCAATTCAATCGTGATATGGACTCAAAAACAATCAAATGCAACATCGTCACATCACATTATGATGTTCCTGTATTCACTGTTTTCCATCTCCACATGTGCAGGTTCATCTGGAGCGAAGGATACGAGGTCCCAGGTTTCCCAGGAGCAGGCAGGCTCTGGACCTCAGGCTCTGCCTCATCTTCCTCTCACGGCCGTGAGCGGGAGCAGCTCTGACACGTCGGCTCCTCCGAAATCTGATCAGAGTCCAACATCTGCGGCGAATCCTTCGATACCAGAATCCCCGACAACAAAGCGGGGAGAATATCCGTTTAGGCGTGGTGAGAACATCACACGGCTGCAATATCGTTATGTTCTGAGATTTAGATTTAGTTTTATTGTTTGTTTGTGTGGTTTATTTCTTCTTTCATTAGACGCTGGTGAATCCAAACCATACTTGCCTCCTTCTGCTGCAACCAGACCCAACACAGAGTCTTCATCATCGGCTTCACCAGCTCAGTCGTCTCCAGGTCTGTCAGCTCTACCGGACCTGACAGTGAAACCTGGGGAATATCCCTTTAAACGTGGTGAGTTTCAGGATTTGACTCAGAAGTAAAAGTCATAGATATTTTTCAATTCCTCAGTTTTCTTTCATTTCTTCAATAAATATGTTTTTTCAGTATTTGTTGTCTCTCCTCATTAATCCAGTCCCAGTTCTTAAAACACCGAGTCCCAGTCTGAAGAGAAGTGTGAGCTTTCCTCAGTCTGCAGGTAAAATACATGCAACTCTCATTAGGCCTGTTCATGCTAACAGTTCACTGACACGTTGCACTTTTTCAGTCCGATGTAGAATCTTTAGTTTAAATTATTCTTTTTTTTCCCTCCATATATAGAAAAATTACTTCCCTCCAAATCCATCATTAAATCTGGTTTCTCACCTAATTTGGACAAGTAAGTTTTTACCATGAATCTTGTTTTGACTTATTACTTCCTTTGGTTGGACAGATGCTGTGTTCTGTCAATTAAAAGTAAAACTAAATTTGTTTTACGTTATTTCTCGACAGGAAAGTGAACAAACCTGGAGGAGTTGAGTTCAAACAGGACGTGATGAAGTCACAAACCCTCCCACGCTCCAACGGGGCTCAGGCCAAACGAGCTCTCTTTGAAAGGATGAACTCAGAACCAATCAAGTAAGTGTGATGGAAATATTTCTCCATTTAATCTTGATCCATTTGTTCACCCATCGATACAAATGATGGGTTGTTCTTCTCTTGAACAGGCCGAAGGACTCGAAGCCCAAACTGAAGCGCTCTCAGAGTTTCGGAGTCTCCAGTGCCAGTGGGATAAAACAGATTCTCTTGGAGTGGTGCCGCTCGAAAACTATTGGATATCAGGTATGAAAGCTGGATTAGTCTGTTGTCATATATCCCCTGATAACTATATATCTTCAATTTGTTATGTTATCATTACTGTACGACTGATTTAATATGAGGCTATCATATCTGGATCACTGTTTATGTTTGCCAATATGAAAACTTTGATTTTATAGAATAATCAATAGAAAGAAAATGCATGAACATTGAACCACGGTATTTGTTTCTCCAGAACATAGACATTCAGAACTTCTCGTCCAGCTGGAGCGACGGGATGGCGTTCTGTGCCCTGGTTCACTCTTTCTTCCCTCTGGAGTTTGACTACAACACACTGAACCCCGCCCACCGCAAACACAACTTAGCACTGGCCTTCACCACTGCAGAGTAAGCAGAGTGTGTGAGTGTGTGTGTGCTGTTTAAACTCAGGTTATCTATATTATATAGAGTTCTTTACTGGTATTGTGATGGAGAATGAAATTTGAGAAACCTGAACTGTGACCAAACCAACATCAAAGCACTCCTGAAAACTTCAAACGACCTTCATCAGAACGTATTTGAGTCTAAACTGAAACAGACTTAAACTTGACTTTTTTAAAACCAACTCAAGGTTTGAATTTCTTCAGACAGAGAGAACTTCCACCCTCACGACATCGGGGTCGTGTAGGAGACACTCTCACCAAAACATAACAGAAACAAATAACTGACAATTCTTTAAGTTTTTAAAATAAGGGAAAAAACAACAGATGCAGTTAAATTAGATTGGATTAGATTGGTGCCATTTCAGTTGGAGTAAAATACATTCTGTTAGTAATACAACATTCATCACCACAGCTGCAAACATTAGCCAGATTTAAAAACAAGACATTAGTATTTTTTCATTTCAATTTTGATATATAATCAATTCTATATTTGCCAACATTAAAATAAAATGGCCTTTTCTTCTAGAAGCATGAGTAAATCATTATTTTAGCTGTTCAACTCCATTGACTCCAATTCATTGTGGACAACCTCTCTTCTGCTCTCTGGATGAACTGCAGCCAATTCTGGTACGAAAACATTAACTCTGGTTTAACTTGAAAATGAATGATTGTTTCTTCATGTGTAAGCATGTATTTATTATTTATTCCATTTGAATCACTTCATATTTTATTCATCTTTATGACCATATGGTGCTTTATTGTTTCAGGGAGCAGGCTGACTGTCTCCGCCTGATCGAGGTGGACGACATGATGGTGATGGGCGACAAGCCAGACCCCATGTGTGTGTTTACATACGTCCAGTCGCTCTACAACCACCTGAAGAAGTTTGAATAACTCTGTATCAGAGTAGAGGAAGAAACCCAGAAGTTTTTTCAACCACAGTCTGATGTGAACACTTTGGATCTGCTGAATTAATGTGGAGCCTGAACTCAGCCTCTGACAATGAAAACCACAGTTGTTCAAATCACTTCAGTCACATTTGATCAGTTTGATACTGTATGTGTGTGCTCACCAGTTTCATTTCCTTCAGTATTTATTGTAGACTACTGATTCTAAAGATGCTTTGTCTTATGACGTGTGTGGCTCCAATGTTTCTGTATTTGCAAAATAGGCTTTTTGAAATGAAAGAAAAGTAAGTAAAAGAAAAAGTTAATAGTTTATAAAAAATGGCTGTCGACAATGATGTGAATGAGTGAAGTTACTTATCAGAGATTTATGAAGTGTTGAGATGCTGCAGGAACAATAAATGGAAGTTTTGCCTATTGAATCTTGAAATAAAGCTTTTTTCTAATCATTCTTGATATTTTTATGATTCTGACTGACTGCACAGCAAAGACAGACCAATGACCAGGACGTGGAGTATAAGTGTGATACTGTAAATCATTTTAACAGTGTGGATAAAAGAGTTATTTCATCAGTGAGATGTGAAAATCTGTGACAACATGTCGGTAACAGTGATTAAAGGCATTTCTACACCACACATTGACAAAAATAAGAAAACATTCAGAGAAAAATCTAAATCTTAACGGTTATAACTGATCAGTTTAAACAGTGTCTGGAAATGTTTTGGTGATTTTAAGTAGTTTGATGAAAAAATATACGTTGATTCACAAAAATTTTTAATCTGGGGGGTTGACATTCAAAGATGCAGCAAATGATTCTGAGCAGCTTGAACAGATCTATTTTTAAACTGTACATTTTTTTCACGGCAGCCATTTTGATATGAAACAGCAGGTAAACACAGGGTGTTGCTAATCACATTCATTAAGGCTTCATCCAAGTAGATCACGTCCTTGATGACGAGAGTGAAAACTGTCTATTTTCTGATATTTTATAGACTAAACTGTTAATTTATCACTTGAGAAATGAATCAATAACAGATATTATTGTTGACAAGTGTTATGAGAAAATGTGAAAGCAACATAAGACAATTAGAAAAAAATGTCAAACGGATGCAGTGGTATGATTCTGGCCTCTTGTTTTGATGAAGCTTTTAGAGAAAAAAAACTTTTACTACAAACTGTCAGAATAAGATCTGTTAGAATGAGCTTCAGATTTACACTGCCATCTACTGGTGAATTATGTTTAGTGCAAAGTGCCACTGACCAAAAACGATTTATCAGAATCAGAAGGAATCTGCTGTGGTGTATATGTGCAATTATAAATGTAAAAAAAAATGGGAAATCAAAATTAAATATAAAAACTACTATAAGGATTTGAACTATTTCAAGAAGCCCAAACACCCAAAGAGGACTTAAGCTTTAACTGATATTAGATTCGATTACATTCAACTTTATTGTCATTGCACATGTCACAAGTACAAAGCAACGAAATGCAGATTGCTTCCAACCAGAAGTGCTTAAACAGTGAATAAATATATGTTACAGTATGCTAAAGTATATGTATATGTTAAGCCATTGCACAATCCCACATGATGATTTCGACTTTTACAAAGTCTTATTTAGATGTTTGATGTAAAGAAACACAAACTTTCTGAGAATCAAGTTTAGATCAAATAGAATCTGTCGAAAAGTTTAGTTAATTAATTAGTTAGTTAATTGTGCTGCGTTTACGGCCCCAGTTGGAGAATCCTCTTGAGGACTTGCATGCTTTACACGAACGCATTCCTCTGAGTCATATCTTTAGATTTAAGTATTTACACTCGATGACGTAAATGATTCGATAGACGCTCGTTAAACATTTGAGACGTTGAAGTTAAAAGAAACTTTTGACTCGTTGAATAAAGTCGGTTAGTGTGTTCGGGGTATGACTTGCTTTGATTTGCAGCGTTTTTTGTTTTTTTTTAGAAGTGTCCGTGAACGCAGCGCTTCCCGTGTACCAGGCATCACTTCCGGTAGATGAGGTCAACGTTTCCCCTGATCCGCCATTTCAGTCCCGGAGTTTCTTGTTGCAAATTAGTTTGAAACATTTCTGTGATTTTAACGTTGAACCAGAATTTAATTTGTGTTTGTGCTTCAACTTCAACTCGGTCCACTCCGACGCTTCGATGCTATTTAGCGGAAGTTGCTAACGCGTTAGCATCGTTTCCCCGGCGGCTGCGTTAGTCAAACCCAAAGTTTGTGTATGAGTCGCGGATAGACAGAGGCCTCAAGCCTCGGACGGGATTTCGCAGCCATGGCCGGGAATTTTGACGCCGAAGACCGAGGTAGCTGGTACTGGGGGAGGCTGAGCCGTCAGGATGCGGTGTCTCTCCTCCAGGGCCAGAGACACGGGGTGTTCCTGGTCCGGGACTCGATCACCAGCCCCGGGGACTACGTGCTGTCCGTGTCGGAGAACTCCAAAGTGTCCCATTATATCATCAACAGCGTCTGTAACAACCGACAGTCCGGCTCAGGTAGCGTCCGTTTATCCACCTGCTTCACCCGCATGTTCATCACTAACTTCACTATTCAGATTTGTCCATTTTCCTTCTGGAAAACCAGGATTTGGCCCCATCCCTGCCAAACCCCAATGGCAAAATGTCCACTTTAAAATGATCACAGTAACTTCACCAAATTGCGTTCACTTTATCACATGTTTATGTCATCGTCTTTTATAATTAGAGTGCACTCTTGAAATCGGCACGTATGTAATATCATGTTCTGCTCAAACTTGAACAAAATGAAAACTTTATTGACATGTGCTTTCCTCATTCCCCGCTATTTTGGACGGTGTTGCTAACGAGCTAGCTCATCTGGTTAAAGAAGAAATCGGACTTGAGCTCCAACACTTTTAATTGAAATGATACACGTGTTGCTTTATGTAAGCGGATCCTCTTGTGTAATGTATGTGAACAGAACCTGGCTGTGTAGAAAGTGGAAGTTTTGTTAAAATTGTTTGTCAGTCAAGTAGAGTTAAAATGGGGCGGTTTTTCAACGGAGTCTGGGGAAACTTTATTTAGCTAGCTAGCCAACAACAACCACTCACATTGTGAAAACCGTGAAACCTTTTTTAAAGGTGTGAGTTTACGTGTCCTGGGGCGGTGGTGTGTCCGTGTGAAGGCAGCAGGACAGTAGCAGCTCAGCGGGCAGAGGTGCAGGGAGCTGGGCTGGCTCATGCTGCTGCTGCTGGAGGGATTGAATGGAGCTGGGCTGTCACAACTGGAGGATGACTGGTCAGACTGGCGTCTGTGGAATGTCTGTGATCTTGCCCTGTTGCACAGACACAGCCCCTCTCTCAGGTCTGCTGCGGCTGTGCCTCCAGCTCCTCCTGGCTGTTGCACAATTCCTGTTCTTTCTGGGCTTCCTGAGGATTGGTTAGTTTTCCTGGAGTTGTAAATCAACAATCTCGGGCTGTTTTATGAATCCTATCATTGTAGAACAACATCAAGTGACCTGTGCGTTTGGAACGATATCAAAGTATCATCCATTTTGGGGTGCATTTTGAATAATTTTAGAATATGGGACGAGATGGGGAATATCCCTTGTACATTTGATGGTCTTCTGCATAATATCAGTAGATGTTAGCAGGTGTTAGCAGCTACCAGCAGATGTTAGGGACATAACTTCAGTTGTGCACCTTAGTGTCATCAAGTGTTTTGGTCTTGTAATCTAAGATACAGGCTGGACTTAAAGGTACGCTGAGGCTGAAGGTGAATCTGACTGGCTACTGGCTTGTTAATGGCAGAACTATGAAAGCCATGTGGCCGCTCAGTAGATTAGACATCATTCCCTCTGCCTTTTTTAAAACTTAACACTTTCCCATTTTAGAACATTGGACAAGATGGAAAAAAATCCCTTGTACGTTCCACCGCACTAATTAATGCCTACTACCAGTTGATGTTAATTAAGTGAGCGGATGTTAATGACCAACAGTGGATGTTGGGGACATTTCTTCAGTTGTGTATGATAATAAAATCTGTGACCAACTTGTAGACCAGTAAAGCACAAGAGATGATTACTATCATCGTTGTTGTATGGCTTGGGTCAGGTTAGACCCAGTGAAAATCATAAATATGTAAAACATATATAAATAAAATATATATATGTATATATCCGGTAATATCGTCAGTATTATCAGTATCAAAGAATATCACTGAATTACCAAAAACTCTTTTTGTTTTTATTCTTCTTTTTTCTCATTTTAATTCCCATGATAAATTGCAAAAGAATAACATGTTTGAGACTTTATTCTGGATGTGTGCAGGGTATTAGGGAGGCTCATTATACCCCTGCTGTGATAATGTTGGTGCTCCATCTGTTCACTTGCTATCACGAGGCCCACAGCTTGTCTGGAACATCAGTTTATTATGGAGCATGCATGTTTCTTGTGTATGTGATGTAAAAGTATAAATGTAAAGTTACCAAATGGGCCTTTGTTCCTATCATCTGCCCGTTAGTTCCCACAACAAGACATGATTGGACGGTTAAACTTACATTTGCAAAGTGGTGGTCAGTTTTGCCAGTTGCCACTAATCGTGTCACTTCATGTTCTGTCCACAGATGTCACAGTTTAGTAGATTGGTTTGTTTCACTTGTGTTTTACTTTCCACAAACTCACAAAATCACTTTTCCTCTGTCAGGTTTGGCTCCTCCTCGGTTTCGGATTGGGGATCAGGAGTTTGAGGCGCTGCATGCCCTGCTGGAGTTTTATAAGATCCACTATCTGGACACCACTACACTTATAGAGCCCATCAGCAAGGCCAAGAACATGGGTTACGTCACATCTGTTGATGTCCCGCAGCAGCCGGAGGACGCTGAGTTTGTCCGGGCACTGTTTGACTTCCCGGGCAATGATGATGAGGACCTCCCGTTTCACAAGGGTGACATTCTGCGTGTGCTGCAGAAGCCCGAGGAGCAATGGTGGAATGCTGCGAACCAAGAGGGCCGAGCCGGAATGATCCCCGTGCCCTACGTGGAGAAGTACCGGCCTGCCTCGCCCACCAATGCCGGTCTAGGTCCCCCTTCTGTGGGGGCAGGACAGGGGGGGCAAATTCCAGGGGTAGCAGCTAGCACAGACGGAACAGGGGCCACGCCGCCAAACCCATTGGGGGACCCAGGCCAGTATGCTCAGCCTGTCGTCAACACTCAGCTTCCAAACCTACAGAATGGGCCAGTGTATGCTCGAGCCGTTCAGAAGAGGGTGCCCAATGCCTACGACAAGACAGCGCTCGCTCTTGAGGTAGCAATTCCACCCTCCATTCATTCTCTCCAAGACTATCTTTCTATTAACCTCTTTAACTTCTCTGTTTTCAGTTTTTATATCAGTTGAAGCAGCCTAGATTGTCCTAGTCGTTAATGGCTTACTCATGCATGTGAGCATACACACAGTCTCTTTACAAATGCAAGCTGACAGTGCACATGAAGACACTCACAGTGGGATGTCTTTATATAGAAGGACAGGCATGGATCCTGTATAATGGGCCTTCTTTATGTTGAATTAATGTGAATAGTACATTCATTAGTGCTGATGAAAAGCACATTGGCTTCAGTTGTTTTCTTGGAGCATATAAACAAACAGTTTGTTCTGATAAAATAAAATGGAAATTGTGGTGGAGGTCAATAAAGACAGTTTGACAAAGACAGCTCGCCCTGGTTGATAATGAGCTAACTGCTAACGTACTGTACATAAACTCCATGGATTACATCTGCAAAGTAGCAGAATTTTTAAGTAGTTAAAAATAAGTTGCCAAATGTTATAAAAAATGTTTTTCAGTTATTAAAATAGTTGCTAATTAATAAACACAGAGAGGACTGCATTAAGAAGAAGGGTGAATAAAATTAAATACATTTACATCTAAATTATTATTTGTAATGAGTTCACTCTCATCTCTTGTATTCCCCTGCTGTCAGTAGCTGTCAGTAAACTCTATCTCTCCTTTTCTCTGTGCCACCTCATTCATTTGAGTCTCCTCAAGAAACGCAGACGCCACCATTTTGTTTGATATAAAAATAATGGAAGACGGTGTATATGTGGTGCTGCTGTGTGAGATGGAGAGAGAGAGAGAGAGAGATTCCCTTTTTAATTATCTAGTTTGCAGTTCTGCAGTTGTAAAAATGAAGATGGGTCAGTCAATTCTACATCAATACTTTTCTTTCTGCAGGCCTGATAAAATCTGAGTCAGACATTGATCCTGTATCGATACCTTCGAGTGGCATGAGCTGATTCTGCCACAGAGTGGAGAGAGACAGTGTGTCAGCAGCATTTATATCTCTGCATTCATCCCTGATGTTGTCGTTTCACAGGTGGGAGACATGGTGAAAGTGACCAAGATCAACATGAACGGCCAGTGGGAGGGCGAGTGCAAGGGCAAGCGAGGGCACTTCCCCTTCACCCACGTGCGACTGTTGGAACAACACCATCCCGATGACGAGAGCTGAGAAACACACGCGCTCCCATCACCTGCGCACACCCCTTCTCTTTTGACATGTTCAGAAAGATTTATACAAGCACACAGTATATGAACTTACAAGTAATACCAGTCAGGCGCTCCTGACCCTCCCAGCACAAGACGTGTTGGCTGATGTGGCCTAATGTCGTTTTGATGGACGTCTGTCACACTAAGAGTTTACACTAAGGTTAGGCTGATATCGGTTTGCCTATATTAGCTTCTTTTTTCAAATCGACGTCACACATAAGTTTTGTCTTCCTCCTTGACCACAGCCACATAGAAAGTCTTCAAAACCTGCAATGAAACATTTACAGCGAGATGGTGACATTTATCGATATTTATTGGTGTCAGATTTAAATTGAAAACACACGTGGGGATTCTTTGTCTCTGTCCATCCACTACATAGAGTGATGTGTTCAGCCTAGTGTATTTTCATTGTGGTCAACAACTTCCAGTAACTTCAAGGCATTTACTTTTTTACTTTTTGTATAATTGTTGTTGAGTAGGCGTAGAAGTAAAACATTGTTTTAAGCTTCATTCACACCAAACCTGGTTGGTTTAACGATGACGTTCAGTTTGGTTGTTTGGCCGATACAGCACAAGGCTCCTCCTTTTTGTCTTGTTTCTATGTATTGGGCATTATTTATTACACACAAGATCCTGTTGCAGTCTCAAACTAAAATGGCACTCAGTAGAGAACGCACCTCCTAAAGGGGGCAGATGCCAATACCAGTATTGAGATTTAAAAATTGTCAATACCAATATATCGGACGACAAACATATATATTTTTTAAAAATTGGCAGTCATTATCAAATTCTTATGACGAACAAAATGTAATTAGGGCTAGAAAGAAAATACAACCAAATACGTACTAATTGTTCTTAAAATATAAACATAAATGCACATCTTGTCTGCATTGTTTAATCGATCAAAATACGTCTGTGCAGGGTTCATATCGGCTGGTTTGTGTCAACTGATGTATCAGTCGGGCTCTAGTTTGAATATTGATTCTGAAAGTTCCAGCAGAATCAGTATGGAGGGTTTTTTTTTCTTATCTTTGTTCAGAGCGTATGGTCTTGGAATTTTTTGTGCTACAACCCTGTCAAATTCCCCAACCAAAAGAATGCCAGGTGTCGTGTTGACCACTGGTCAACCAATGAAATGAATATGATCCCTGCCTCATTGCGTTCGCGTTCGAAATCCGTGCCAGGAACAAAATATCTGAGTGTAAGCACACAGTTTGAGCACAAGCAGAGCAAATTTAAGTGCAAACGGGCTATTTTAGTGCAAGGGCAGGGTTTTGATGAACATGCACCCGAAGTGAAAGACCACGCTCTTGAATAAAGATAGGGGGGGAAAAAAACCTCCATATATTAGGCACTAGTGACCGATATCAGTTGAACCCTAGTTCACACACCCCAGTATTGAAGTCTGCACTGCACATACAGTTACACAGCAGAGTCTGCCCCCTCTTCCCTTCCTGCGTATCCCCAGATGGTTCATTTCATTTATACACAGAAGGGAAAAAGAACTGATTGCAAACCGGAGACACAAACACTCAGCTTGTCTCACAGAATCATGAATCAGTGAGTTTCTTTTGGTGCCAGACTTTGAACCTCAGAGCAGAACGAGCAAAGACTTTTCCTGACGTCTTGTGGAGAACAAGGACAACGTTCCCAATTTACTACATGCTACCCACACTACAAACAAGTCCTCTTTTTTTTGTACTAAAAGTGGAAAATATTATGATAGAATTGACTTGATATGAATATACACACCTTACATGCTAAATACTGTAGAAAACATTTTCCTTTGCCTGTTATTTTATGTTCCTTTTTTTTTTTTAAACACTATCATTGCCAACATGGATGACTTCAAACGGAGCAGTGTGAAAGAACAAAATGAGCGCCCTGTGGTGGAGGATGGAAGGATTCACCGAGGCCCCTTTTTAGAAGATGAGAACGAGGGATTATATTTTTGTCTTCCAGCAAGTTTTTTATGACATTATCAGTTGCAAATGTTTTTAAGAACAAACCCACCTGAAACACTATTGCTTTTTATTTAAAAATATTAAAACAGACAGGATGCCACTCTGTCAATCTTCTGCCACTAAAATGCTGTGATTGTCACTTGCTGTGGGTTTATCGTTTCTCAGCTTTCTCCTCAATGAAACCACATGCGATGATTACACATTAATACACAAGTCTACGGGTTTTTATGTCAGAATTAAAATTAACCTTTAAATTTTCCATTTCTCAGCTAAAAGTGCTTCCGGGCCTCTTTCTAATAGCGTGGTTTCCCTATTAAAGGAGACATATTCTGCTTGTATTCAGGGTGATAATTTTGATTGGTGTTATTGCTTCAAAGGTTTACAGGCTCTAATGTTCAGAAAACACATCAGTGTCCTCAGACTGCTCCTCTTTACTGCCTCTGAAATGCATGTTTTGTTTCAAATGTGGGTTTTCATGATGATGCGTAACTGGCATTCAGACAACTGGTGAGGTGATCTGGGAGAAGAGGAGCTCCCTTTACTTTGGGCTTTTTGTCTTTTCAACGTTTTTACATTCACAAAAAAACTGAGAGGAAAGAAAAACTGAAAAAGCAGCATATGTCTCCTTTTACATAATCTTGTCTAATCTAGCCTGTTTAAGATATTGAACACTTACAAGGTGGCTTTTGTAAACATGACACACAAATGAAACACAAGTAAGAATAACAGTTTTTGAGAGAAAAATGCTCCAGTTCTTGTTATTCACATGTTAAATGAGTGGGTTGTACCTTTCACTTTCCAAGTCAGAAACTTGCATGTATCGTTTTTTCCATGATACATTAATGTTTCTCGCATGCTAACAATGCTAAACTACAGTAGGAACATGGCTACTGACAAACCCCAGCTATTCAGAGAAGTTGCGTCTTGTCCGTCACTCTGGAGAATCTGCTGAGATGCATCTTTTCTTCCTCGTGTCCCATGGATTGGAAAAGATGAGAAGTTTAGTAGCAGCGGACCTGAAGCCCCAGTCAGTCAGCCAGTTTCGCTTTTTTGATATTTTAAAACAAGCAACACAGAACCAAATGATTTCCAGAGCTCTGACATACCGTAAATAGTTTTTTTTACTCAACTTTGATCACAATTCCCAACAGAGTGCTGGGGTCAGATTTCTAAATGATGCTTAGACACAAAAATAATCCATATCCCATGCACATGTAATAAAAATAATGTTGAGAAGGAGTACATCTCACACAGTCATCAGCATAGACCTTAACACTTCCTGTACCTGGATTATACATTAGGTTAAAGGGTTCAACATGGAACACAGAATTTATATGCATCTGACCCCAGACTTCCGAAAATCATCATTTTGAGTTTACGTTTTTATAAATTGTGAAATTTTACACTCATTTGTTTTGTTGTTGGGGTTAAAATTTAAGGAAAGTATTTACAGTATTTTTTAAATCATTATTTGTTTAACATCTCTGAGCCACATCTGTGGGTCATATGCAGCTCTCTCTCTTTCCCTGTATATAAACACTTTCTGTAGTTCACAGGCCCAAGTTTGTGTGTTTCTTTGTTGAGCTCAGCAAAAATATTGGAATTGATCACATTAAGGATTAATATGCTAATAGAAGTCAGCTATGTGTAACCACACGATTCTCTACCTGAGTGCCTGCCTGATGTAAGTGGTATTTAGGTGACCAGTTAACACTTAACGACTGTTTGTGACTAAAGTCAAATGTCTGTAAAGTGCTGCTGCTGCAAATGTGGTGATTGGGGTTCAGTAATATTTTAAAACAGAACAATACATTTGTTGTGAGATATGTCCCAAATAGAGCATTCTTTAAAGGTTTAATTGTGTACCAAAAAAGTTTGAATTATGAATTGTATAATTTGTTATGACAAACTAACAAAAATCTAAACTGATAATGCACAATGTGAACTGTCAAGTGTATTTTTTTGGTTTGATTTCTTTTGCATAATTTGACATCAATTGGAATGAAAAACAAGACTTTTTATGGGAGATTGTTGCCTCTGACACTTTTCCCACTTTTTTGAATGGAAAGAAGTGATTGTGTTTCATAGGTTCATTCTGATTTTTTAAATCTTTTTCATAATTGCTTAAATGCCTTCATGCAAAGCGTTAACTGGGTATTGCATTTAGATGCATGGCGCTGACCTCCAATGAATTGTTGCCTTTAAGAGAAAATATTCTCATTTCATAGTTATTGAAAGACATTGTGAGCTGCTGTCCCTTTGCAATTAAAGTCCATTGAATTTTCCCTATTCTTTCCTTTTAAATAACACTGATCACTACATTATGCACCTTATCTCCTTCACAGCTCAAGATAAAAAACTCCAATGAGTTCACAGCTCAAGCAAAAACACTTTGAGCCTCAACAAAGCCAAATAATGTTTCATTGTTATTTTCTATTTTGCTATGATCATTTTTGTTATGTAGCCTTTTTGCCATTTCACCCTGACTTTGAAGAAGACCAGACAAAGAAAAAGTATGAGGTTTTTTTAAGCCAGTGGAAATTGTGTTAATATCAAAATGTGCCATTTTATTATAACACTATATTCTTTCAAGACAATTGAAATTACCTTTTTATTTTCTGTAGC